TCTCCATCAATCTACTATTTTAAAATGCATTCTTCACCTTTTAATGGAGCTCAAACAGGGCCAAAGTTAGGGGTTTATGCTGTGTTTTATGTATTTATTATTATTTTTTTGGGGGGCTTGAATTATCGTTAATTTGAACATGGGCTATTATTGAATTTGAGATGGGCTAACCAAAAATAAATAATAATAACAAAGATAACAAATGGACATGAGTTGAGGCTGGCATGAGCTATAGTACAGACCAGCCCGTGCCTAGATCAGCCTCTGATCACAATCATATACTAATCACAAGTCATACAAGTTCATGGTCACAAAGACAAATTTTATAGATTATAATTACATATTTAGTCACGAATCACACAATTTTATGTCACAAATTATCTAATTCACTAGTCACAATCACTCTTGATCTCATTTCATCACCCCCAAGCCATAAAACTCTAACCATCACCATTCAAATCGGCGCTTCCCCATCAAATCCTCCACTGTCGCCACCACCACATATACCTTAAATACACAACCACCACCACCTCAAATCCACGTAGGGATGTAAAATGGGCCTAGCGGCTCGTGGGCTGCTCCGGCTCGTCATTTGTAGGGGGCTCAATCTCACGAGCTGTGGGCTCGTCAAAAAATATGTAAATTTACAAAAAAAAAAAAAAAAAAAAAAAAAAGAAAAAAAAAAAAAAAAAGTCCCTAAATCCACGCTCCACACTCACCTCTAATCCACCACCATCATACTTCTATGCATAACCACCAAAAAGATTAACAACATAAGAAAATGAAAGATGGCACCCTCATCTACAAATCCTGCCATTTTCATCGAGGGGTTTCTTCTACAAGATCAAAGATAGATACTTAGGTGTCGAGGAGGAGATCAACAAGTTTTTTTTCACAAGGTTGAAACAATCGTTTCGATATCAGGGAGGAATGGACAAAACTTGTCCGAGTTTTGGATTCCATCGAATAGAGGGAGGGCAACAAAGGAGGAGTGAGGATTATAGCGATATGAACATATGTATTTTTAGATTTTAGGTGGCAATGGTAAAAGTGCTGGTAGTGGCGGACAGTGGGTTAAGATTAAAAGTTGTTGGATTGTGGATTTATGAATTGAGTGAAAAATTGAACAAATAATAAGTGGAGTGGTATGAAGTTGGGTGGGGGAGTAGAATATATCTGATTTTTGAAAGAATAAACTTAAATTTTGATTTTTGAAACGGAAAGTTTGGAGATGGGTGAATGCAATGTCCTCAAATGGGATTAGTACATAAGGTTGAAAATGAAACCTGAAAAAAAAAATTAAAAAATTGAAAACAAAAAGAAAAGGGAATATTGGTAGTAATGAAACTGGGCCGATAATTAAGGGATGTTATATTGCAATTTATGTCATGTTTGTTAGCGACAAATAGGCCGAGCTTGCGAACTGTTCATTTTAAGACGAGTGATGAATCGAGCCAAACTCCTTTTTTTCCACAAGCCGAGTGGGCTCATGGACCCTAGGCTAGTCAGTTTGGGCTTGTATACGAACTCCTTTTTTGGCACTTTATTGAATTATTATTATTATTATTATTATTTTATTTTTAACTTTTTTTTTTTCATTTGTTTAGAAAACAAGTCAACTAGTGAGTGGTTAATCTCGAGTGTTTAAGGGTTGAAGCCCTAGAACTCAGATGTTTAATGATCAAGTCGACTTGACTCAATCCATTGTAAATCCTAGTTACAACAACCATATTGCTCAAAATTTTGGAATGCATTCAAAAACTTAAAAACGAAAAAAAAAAGGCAAAAAAAAAAACAAAGGGGGAAAGGGGAAAAGGAAAAGGAAAGATTCCAAACCAGGCAACAATTTTTGGTAGCCTAAATTTGAGGCATTTCAATCCAGAATTGAAATCAACAGACGAGAAACCTGAATCACAGAATACCAACATAAGTAACAAGGTGAAGTCGTTTCAAAGGAATTGTTAGTTAACATTAATTTGTTGCACCAGATTATCTGTGGTGATTATGGATGTATTTTAAGGATATTCAGGAATATTTTTAATTCTTCATCATAATCAAATGATTGAGTTGAACATCACATAAATTTTGAACTGTGTAAATCAGAGAGTATCTGTCCATGGCTCTGCGTGTGGTACCACAAGAAAAATTCGTGGGGTGGACAATGCTTAAAGTGTGGATAGAAGTTGCTATAAATGAGAGTGATATGATTCAATTATGCATCAAGTGAATCTCATTGATTAAAATACTTACTAGTTAGGCTAACAAATTTACACCTTGCAAACGTGCTATTTGTCGAATTGTGTCATTAGGTTATGGTGAATCAATTTATAAAGAAAAAAAACTTACAATAAGAAAAACTCGATTTGAGAGTTTGATATCCACGATTTTGTCCAAGAATCAAAAACCATCACGACCTCGTTGGTTCTCAATTCTCAATTCGAATTTCTGTTTTTCTAAAATTGGACTGGAACCTCCGATTTCGATTCAAAAAGTTTAATTCCAGTTAAAATGTCTATCCCTAACAGCAGCCTAAGAGATAATTCCATTATTTCATATCTTGATCTACCACAATAGTTAAATTATTCTGTATCTAACATAATCTACACGAAAAAAGTTGGAAGACAAAAATTCCTACAATAAAAACTATAATGTGGATGATTCTATTTAGATTTCAACCTTAATGTTGAATTGTTCCTATTGATACAATTTTCAAAAATTCATTTTTTCCTCCAAAATAGGGCTCAAACAAGGGTTAAATAAAGAGAAGACCTCAATACAATAATCTATTCAAGCTTGTTGGATTGACAGGGAATTTCTCCATGGTTTGGGACAGGGAGCCTCCTTATTGGTGGGGAGTCTGATGCTCAAATCCTGGAGCCATTCCCTGTTTGAATGGCTTTTCCCTAATCTATTTTATGCTTGAAAGGAAAAGAGATTGAAAAATGCTACTGAATCAGGGATAGAAAAAAATAGGCTGATTTGGCACTCTGTGATTGGGTGTTTTTGTGTTGCTTTTTTCCAATTTCCAATGAAAAATTGTCACGTGTTGTCCCGAAAAAAAATTCCGTCATTGATTTGTACCGGAAAACAATTAATGAGATTGACACCATAGTTTTCAGCTTCTTGGCTCAAGTATTGTTGGATAAAGTACATTGTATCTATGATTAATTTTCATAAATATGACATACTTTTATTTCACAAGTCCTTTTAAGGAAAAATTGGAGAATTTTAGTAAATAATAAAATAGAGTATATTTTTTAAACATTCGGTAGCGTCTAATGGCACCATCGGTGGCAGTTGATGGAGAGACGATAATAAATGTGGCAGCGATGAGTAAGGGTTTGTTTGGGGTAATCAAAAAATTAAAAGGAAAGTGTATTAAACAATTTTTTTATTTTTATTTTTATTTTTAAATTTCAGTCCATAGTTCGCCTAATATACCACTTGTGTAGGGTTCATTAGAATCCCGAGCACAAAGACTATTAATATGAACAATTAATTTATTCAAGGAAAAATTGCAGCAGAGGTACCAAACCTTTCGTTTATTAGCAGATTTTGCCCAAACCTTTAGTTTGTGTCACCGGAGATATCAAACCTTTAAAAAATGTGTGGGGCCAGTCCAAAATGACGGTTTCCATCTGTTTGACCGTCAAAACCGTCAGTTGACCCCTTTAATGATAATTTCAAGAATTTTCCTCAAATAAGTGAAAGGCAACATGGTCATTACACACATTTCCCTTATATTATATACTTCACTGTTTATTTCCCTCTATTTCTTTATCACTATATATTACCTACATTCTCTCTCACAGGTAGTCAAAAAAATCAGCATGCACATGGAGGGGAATGTATGCAGATGTGGTTCCCCAGTGTAGATGAAGACCTCGTGGACGAACTCGAACCCGGGAAGAAGATTTCTCACATGTCCTCGAAGCCAAGATGTGGGTGGATGCACCTTCTTTATGTGGTGTGACCCTCCGATGTGTGAGAGATCGAAGGAACTGATTCCTGATCTATTACGAGCTAGGAGGGAAATGGAAGCTGAAATCGACACCCTTCAAGCAAGAAGACCAAATGTGTGGAAGATCTGGCTCTTCGACTTTGTGTGTGGAGTGTTTGCAAAATGGGTTTGTTCCTAGGTATGTAGGGTCAGATTGTAGGATTTTAGTTTTTTGTTCCAGAAATTTGAGCTTAGGGTTTCGAAATGGAGCCATGTGCTAGATATTGTGAAATTCATATGTAAAAAATGAAAAATTGTGTTGTACCTTTTGACTTGAAATTTAACGATATTTTTCTGGCCTCTATGTAACAAACTTATCTGAAGAAGGTGTAGCATAGTACCAAACCTTATAACGATTCGCAGAATCAGTACCAAACATTTTCTAATGGTTTCAGACAGAGTACCAAACCTTTAAAAACATTGCAGTAAAAGTATCAAATGTTTGATAATACTTTTATAGGAAGTATCAATCATTCTCATATATTTCATAATCGCCTGCACATCAGATCTTACGAATACAATTTCAGAAACCAACGACAAACAGCAGAAACATAATGTAAGATATTCGACATCAACATTATCATCACATTGAACAATTTCATCAAAAATTCCAGTTACATCTACAAAATACACAGTATTGGAAGCACATATTTCCAGTTCAATTTACAAAAAAATCACTGCATTTTTCCAAAAAGGTGACTGTACAAGAGAAACCACATGATGTTCAAGATTGCGATCCTCTATGCTTGGACTTCTTTGTCTGTGACTTGGAGGTTTGCGTTGAATGTACTTTTCTCTTCCCCTTCGTTGATCTGGTATGTGTATCTTCTTGTGTGGTTGGTTGAGACTGTTGCTGTGAACTATCTTTACGAGGCAGTGCCTCCTTACAGCTTCTTTTATTATGTCCAGACTCTCCACAGCGTTTACATGTCATCTTCATGCCAGTCCTTCCCATCTTAACGCTTGCAAGTGGCTCTGCCTGTGACCTCTTCATCAATTTTTAGGGTCTGCCAGCCCGTTTTCTCTTCTGAGGTTGATTGAGAGGATGTTTTCCCAATTCTGGCCATAATTCAGGCCCTGACATCGGGTGGATCACTGGGAAGTAACATTTCAGGTATGTCTCCTTGCTATACCATGTGTCGATGTACTCATATATGCCAATATCACTTGAAAGCATGCCTAATATTGCATGGGGACATGGTATTCCAGTGAGCTGCCATTTTCTGCAAGCACATGCATGTAGTGTCAAGTCAACGCTCCACCTCAAACCGTCTCTACTGCTTATCTCAAATTTATGGTTGCCTGCATAGTCTGCCTTCAAGTATCTTGCCTCAGACTTAGCCTTCTCAATGATTTTCACAATTCTTGACTCAAATGCATGATCTCACCTCTGTGCCGCTTCCCTTTTTGCATTCATCCTTATCATTTGCTGATACCGAATTTTCTCTAACATGGAGATGATGGGCCTGTCTCTGGCAACAACAATGGAAGAATTGAATACCTCACACAAATTATTAAGAAGAATATCACATCTCGAATGCTCTTCGAAATGGGATCTGGTGCATTGGGAAGGAGGTTTTTCAAGGAACCAGTTGAAAGCCTCTTCACTTATGTCTATTAACTCATTCATTACACTCTTCCACTCTGGCACTGTTGTTGCCCTTGCTGCAGTCCAAAATAGGTTCTTAAGTGCCAGACCTTTGTGTGCCAAGGTGAAATTGCTATAAAGATGTCTAGCACAACACCTATGCTTCGCTCCTTCACAGTATTGACTTATGGAATCCACCAAACTCTTTTGTTTGTCGGAAATGAATGTCCAAGCTCGAGGGTTGTGCATTCCTATGTCATGAACCAACAATTCTATGAACCATTGCCGGTTTGTTTTGTTCTCTGCATTCACAACTGCCCATGCTAACGGGAACATATAGTTCTCACCATCGATCCCAATAGCTGCCAACAACTGTCCACCTTCTGCAGATTTTAGGAAGCATCCATCTAACCCAACAACTGGCCTACACCCAGCCTTAAATCCTTCCTTACAAGCCCCTATGCAGATGTACAATCTCTTAAAAGTATGTCCCGAACCTTCGATTTGCACTGTACTGCCTGTATTTGTTCTCTTCAATTCCTCACCGTAATCCCATAAAATTTTGTACTGCTCAGCTACAATCCCATTAATAACTTTTGCACATTTCGATCTTGTCCTAGAGAACTGATGCTTTGAAATCTCATACATGTAGTCCTATTTCACAATCTCCATAAAACTACTCATGGGAATGTTTGGATCAGTCCTCTTTCAGTGTCATACAACTCATGTTCAGACCTCAACTGTGGTTCGACATCATGTGGTTTCTCTGGTTCAGCATCATGCACTTCTGATTCATGTGAGTCTACTTCAGCCCCCATAAAATCAACCTCTGTATACTCATGCTCTGTTCCATGCACTGTATAAACTTCCTCTTCATCTGCTTCCATGTCATCCACTTCATCAAACATACACGTCATCACCTTCTACTGATTCGTCATAAATCTCAATAACATAGCATGGTTGCTGCTTATTCAATGCTTCACCAGACTTTTGAACTTTCACCAACTCCTCACCAGTCTCACAATCAAACACTTGAACATCCTTCTGTTCTGTTTCATCCCAAGGCAACTCCAAAACCTCAACTACAGGCAAGCAATACAGTTCAGCTGTCCTATTATCACCAAGCCACTTCACTAAATTCATGAATACTGAGTCTTTAACCAACCAAAATGAACCTTCACTCATTCTTTCTTCTCCATCTTGTACATATATCTAATTCTATCAAAATATCCTAACATTTTCATGGCATTGTCCAAAAGAAATCTATTGAAGAAATCAAGGTCGATATAGTATATATAACTTATTTTTTCATGCTCATACACAAAATTTCTCATCTTCTGAAATAAAATTCCACCATGATGGAGCTGTATGCTGAAGTACTTTGAATTTTCCCTTGAAAAAACACCGAAAAAATGAAGTTAAGCCCTAGCTTTTTTCAGTTCGAGCAACGAACATGTGCAGAAAAGATAGTACACAAGCATTACGCTCTAATACACCAAATCACTTAAATTTTTTGAATTTCCCAGTACGTTAGCGCAATCGAACAGGAGAACTTCATAATCATACAACTTCACACCGTAAACCAAAAATAGGGGAAGACACTTACCATACACAGGTTGGAGAAGAAAGCCTCGAATGTGGGCGGCAATGTCCACTGGATGTTCATCTTCTTTGATGTCCGTTTCGTCTTCTTCGTGGGTTTTCGCAGGTTCCATAGTGGATAGTGAGTGGAAGGAAGTTGCAACTGACATGTTTGATGTTGAGGAGGGAAATGTGTATAATGACCATATTGCCCTTCACTTATTTGGGGAAAATTCTTGAAATTATCATTAAAGGGGTCAACTGATGGTTTTGGCTATCAAACAGATGGAAATCGTCATTTTGGACTGGCCCCACACATTTTTTAAAAGTTTGGTATCTCCGGTGGCACAAACTAAAGGTTTGGACAAAATCTGCTAATAAACGAAATGTTTGATACCTCGGCTGCAATTTTCCCTTTATTCAATAAAATGCCCAAGATTGATATTAGCAATGTGTCAAGACTGATTACGTGACAAATAAGTCATCATTTATGACAAATATAAAATTCTTGATTAGCGTCAAATACGATCACTTCATCAAGAGATGTGGAAGTGTCAATCTCATTCAACCAATTATGTTTTTCGTTATATTGAGCTATTGATTCACCGAGTTGTATTTGGAATCTCTTTTTCTAATCTTAAATGAGGTTTCAAATCATAACTCAATATTGGTTAAAGATTTCAATATCAATACTCACGTCTACGAATTTCAAGACATATTTCCTTTATATCTAGGAGTGCCAAATCCTATCTTGATCATCTATCAATCTTCATGTTATTCACATAACAACAAATTAATGTTGTATTAGCAATCCTAATGTTGTCACATCCAATATCATCATAGCGTGACTATTTTTTATGGTGATCTCAAGTCTAAGGATTTCTTTCATAATCGCCATTAAGAGATATCTACTTGCACTGAATAGTTATCCATATGAATATGGATGAGGGTCTCCAATGAACTTGTTCATTAAACAAGCATTAACATATTCACTCAAATGTCTCTATACCCTAGTTCGTGAATCGGCCATTCTCTTAAGAAGAAAGAAAAGCAATGTGTTGCAACCTATACAGAGATGCCAATAAATAGAATTAATTGCACTATACCCTGACAAACATGAAACCTGGGCATAGTAATAACAGATCGACAAACTTTATTTATCTGCCATGACTATAAAATAAATCAAAATTCACAAGTTTCTTAGATCCACTATTATTTAAATAATTTGAAAACCAGTCAAACGAATTTTTCAACAAAAAAATAAATAAATAATAAAATAGAATCTTGCATGTGCAACTATTATAGCAATTACTTCAATAGTAGGAAAGCATCTTTCAAATATATTTTACCCAACCACGTCAAACGACATATACTGCTCAAATATTTGGTGTTTGTTGACTGGGAAATTTTGTGACATAAATAAATTATTCATTTCAGTTTAAGTTCAGCGCAAGAAAGTTGTTTGCTAAAATGCAGATTAAATTATTCGTTTCAAGTTCAGTGCGAAAATAAATTATTTAGTTTTTCAAATAGTGAAAATATTCTTCTTCAATGAAGCATCTCAAAGAATGTTCATGCGCCTTTAACTCATGGGTCTATATTTTTGTATTTTTTGCCTATCGTATCGTGTTGTGTCGTGTTCTTGTTCTCGTCCACTTTTCAATTAAAATCCTACCCTCTTTTCCCCTACATTATTCAGTACCTCCTTGTCACGTGTTCTAGTCCCTATTTTTTGCATTCTATTGTATCACTCTCGACTTTCTACTCTTAACACATTTGCTCTTATTCTTGTATGTGATCCGGTCCAATCCCTTAAAGTCGATATATAAAGCCGTGATTTGAGGAAAAAGAAGAAGAAGTCAATTTTGACAATATTGGAACCGATTTTGATCATATTGTAATCAATATTTGATTAGTTTTAAGTAGACTAAACATTTTAAATTCCAAGTTCAATTTTCTATACAATTTATTAATTTAAGCGTGAAATGTGTACGAAGAAAAAATTATTAATTTAAGCATGATTAAACTAAATCATTCGCAGCGAGAATTAAGTCAACATATTGTGGACAAAATCTAACACCTATATATGAAAATTAATTTAATAACTGATAACCATAATCATAAATTAAATGGACATGATTATATATTAAAAAGGACATCTTTAAAAAGAAGAACATTAATGATGACGGTTGATTATGCATGTGAGTCTGATCATCATAATTTGGTATTGGCCCTTAGCAAATAGATCTAGTCTCGGTTTGGTTGAGTAATTTTTTTTTTTTTTAAGAAAATAAAATTTTGTGAAAATTCATTTTTTTTTTTGGATAATATGTGATTAAAAAGTAGAGAAAAGTTATGCATTCATGAACAAAATTATTTTATTTAGAAAATGTGTGATTAAAAATAAATTTAAGAAAAAATAAAATTTAAAAATATGAGACAAACAGAGACTTGGATAACTTTAATTATATGGTAACTTGAGACTTGAGCAGGGCACGAGAATATGAGTCCATTTGGAGCATTTGAATAATATTATAATTTTATTCGTCAAACTAAACGACGAATTGATAACCCCATTACTCACTTTCTAGAGGTTAAATTTTTTTATAATATCGGTGTTATTGTAAAAATTACACATTTAGCCCCAATCTATTTAAATCATAGCAAGTTAATCCTCAATTCATTCTTCGACAGTGACCCTATTTTTTAAAATTTGTAGCATGTTAGTCATCAATAAAATTCTTGCCATTTATAAAGCACCCATCGACTCTCTCAAACCCCAAACCCGGTCATGCATAGTTACCCAACTAATTGGATTGCACCCTTTCCCCGAACTTCGCCCTTTCTTGGTTCGCCTCACCTCTTTTGTTTGGTGAGAAAGGAGGTGAGTTTGATTAGGCAAGAAAAACTATTTTAGTTGTGTTTTCCGTTTGTTAACTTTTCAATATATTTCACATTTTAGTAATCAAGAATATGAATTTATGGATCCTGCTACATGTACATAAAAATTTACATAATAAATTACATAATACCATATGACACTCTATCATTTGCAAGTTTAAAATACAATCAACTTTTTCATTCAATCTTTTCCCTCCACATCATATTATGTAATCCATTATGTATAGTTTTTATGTACAAATAGCAAAATCCTGAATTTATTCACTGAAAACTAATCTACTACATCAGGGACGGATTTGGGGTATCCCCCCCCCCCCCCCCCCCCCCCCCCCCACGGGGGGCCCCCCCCCCCCCCCCCCCCAAGCCCAACAACTTTTTTTTAAAAGTAATTTTTTTTTTTGGTAAAAAATCAGTTTTTATGTGTAAATTTTTTTTCCATATAATAATCCGGTTTGAAATTTTATAGTCCGATCTTGGATTCAATCCTGGATCCATCCCTGTACTACATAATTAAAATGTAGAGCAACAGTACTATAAAAAAATAATATAAAAAACTAAGTCTATGTTTTGTTCATGTTATAAATACACAAATCACATACTTTTTATACGTGCTTTTAAATTTCTTAAGATACGAGTAAGTTAAAATAACGGTCATTTTTTCAATCAATAAATCAAATGGAAGAGATGAAACGTGCATGAAAGGATGAAAGAATTACAATTGGAACGTAGGAAATCTGTTCAAAGACGAGCAATTAATAAAGTAGGAGTAGGCTGGTCAAAGTCAACCGTAATTATTTGGAAAATTGACCTTCTATTGAAATTGACTCATAACCACAAAATGCTATTGTTATCCTAATGCTTTAAATTAGTAATGTCTAGGCCATAAAACATCCACGTATGCACCATCTTCATGGAACACATGAGTCCACGAACTACGGATTCAAAAAGAATATTTCAACTAAGCTCTCATTTAGCCTCCATTATTAGATAATATAATTTTTAAAAATCCAACTTATCCTTATTTTAAATTTTAAAAATCTGTTTTTGATTTTAAACGATTATAAATTTTGGGCCCAAAAAAAAAAAATAAAAAGAGGGCAAAGGCGACGGCGGCAACGGTTGAATTGTAGCGGCGAGGGCCACTGATGTATTGCAGCAGCAGGTGCTGGACGTCGTCGGTGGCCTTCGCCACATTGTAAAAGGAAAAAAAATAAAAAAATTCAGCAGCAGATTTGGGTGTTGAAGACGGAGGCCTGTTGTGCAAATTCATAATCTACAGGCCTTTGCTTGAAAATTAATATATAAGGTATTTGAATAATCTAGAGGGTCAAAAATGTCTTTTTGATATAAAATTTAAAAGGTGTCATTTTTTATAATGCAAAGCCAAATTTTGACACCCAATGAAATTTCCACTTTTTAGAATAGTATTTTTTTTTAAAAAAAATGTGTGGTTGAATCGGCATGATTATTTATTTATTTATATGTAATATTATTTTATTTGAAAATGTGTGGTTAAAAAAGAATAGAGAGAAAAATGCATTATAAATATAATGGGGCTCAAACGGGGGCTACAAGTCGTAAGTCCTATAAAATATGTGATTAAAATTAAATATTAATTTTGAATTAAAATTTTATCATATTTTTAGTTAAATCAAACTTCACCTTAAAAATGTTTGGACAAACGAGAAGCTTAGAATGAATATTAAATTAGTCACATTGCATATTAGTGATTATTTTGGTGTGAGTTTATGTTAAAAAGAGGAGAATGTGGTCATAGTTAAAATATATTCATTTTGTTTTGTTAGATTTGGATTAAACTGATTCATGGTGTCAATGATAGGAGAATTTTCAAGTGCTGAAATGACAATTTTTGATTGGTCATTTTTTCTTTTATTTTTTTAACTGTCAATGAAATTTTGTCAATTGTATATTTGTATAAAACTCTGTCACTGACCCCGTTCTTCTAGCAGACATTGTTAAATTTTGGTGACATTAGGACTTGGGAGAAGCGGATAGGGCATAAATAGGATAGGAACGTGATCACAATTTTTCCACTAGGTCTAGGGGAGATGATCATCTTTGATTGGATCAATCAACATCTAATTGAATCACCATACTATCTAAATTAACCTATCATGCTAAATTACTCGTTGCGTGCACTAATAACTAGTTTGACGACAGTTTGTTTATGTCAAAATCACTCATTTTGATTGAATGAGTTGCTTTACTCTCAATTACTAAGATTCGCATGTAGAAAAATCGGGTAGAACTTAAATAATAGAAAAATATAACTGATTAGAATATAACATAATCCTAAAAAATGAAAAATAAAAATAATAATTTATAAGATGCATGCACCTCTTGAATTTAATGTTAGAATATTATGTGACAATAAAAACACGAGTCCTTGGCACCAAAATGGTTCTCTCTTGTTATGAAACGATTAAAGAGTGATTAAGCAATCAAGTGTACAATAAACCCTAGCTCCAAAGTAAAAGCAGCCATGAGTAACCCATGTGACCCCCTCCCATACGAATTCATCCGCATATCATATCCTCGCACTTATCGCCGTGAGTTTTGGATTCAGAATTTTTATTTACCTGAATTCAAAAGGTGATATTCTGCTTAGGAAATACAAGTGGAGTTGGATGCCATTATTATCAAAGTACGAGAGAAACATGGATGAGTCGTTTTCTCTCTTTAAAAATTTGTGAATAAAGTTTGCACAGTATTTGATAATCGTACTAAAAGAAAAGGGCAAAAAAAAAAAGCGTTTGTAATTTTAACAAAGGGGGCAACAGTGTCAGCCTGGCGTGCCAAACACTGTAAACTCGTATATGGAGGTAGAGGATTGACGGGCCGTACTGGACGAACTAAAAAGAAGTGAACCCACTGCACAATTACAGCTGAAATACAGTAAAGAAATAGAAAAAAAATACAGCTACTGGAAAATTAATAATGGGTTAACACTTTTGGGATTTGTTTACATGTTTATGTGAAAATGGTCATTTTGACTCATGGTATAAAAGTATAGGGTGGAGAGAAAAGGGGTGGTGGTGCTGATTCTAAAGGGATAGATGAGACTGTGGGAACATTCTGAGCTTGGCCTTTTGGGAAAACACGGTGTTTCTGGGTGGCTAGCAAAGATTAGTGACAACTCATTCTTTTCAGGGTTCGATTTTTCGTTTTTTTTTGTGGGCAGATCCGTTCTAATTGTATACTGGTGGTGGGATTTCTTCTTATTTTTGTTCCAAAGTTTTAGTTTAATAGTGCTTTGCTCTGTTTTACACTGTTTAGCCCCCCATTGAGTTGTGATTCCTTGTAAGGAGCAGAAGTTTTTGTTGATCTGAATGCCATGATTGACAGGGAAGTTTAACACCTTCTGTTTTAGGTGAGTTCTGGAGAATTCTGAAGTTGAAATTTCTTTCTAATCTCATCAGTCAAGGGTTTCTGTACATATATATATATTGATTCAGGGTTTGGTTTAGAATACTATTTTCCATGGTATGGATTTGTTTTCCTTTATTTGGGCCATTTTCTGCATTTGGTTCTTAATCTCTTGCACTAATATGATTCTTGCTCTATGAAAGGTTACTTTGTGATTGATTGTTCATAAGTTTTGCTAATTGGTAATTTGATATTTCTGGGTTTTTGCTATCTTTATTATGTGGTGGAGTGATGTGATGCATTCTTTGGAATTTTTCCTTTTTGTGGATGCACTACCATTTCAGAGAACAATCTTGTTGCTTGCATTGTTGTCCTGTTCACGTGTGTGTATACATGTTTTTATACTTTTCAAAACTGGTTGATGCTTCCTTTCTGCAATTTTGGTGCTGCCCTTCCACTCATACGGATATTGCGTTGGCTTTGACAGGTCTTTTCAACTCCACTGAAGGATGATTTTACCGTCTGTCAGCCAATTTTTCTGAATTTTTGTTTCGGATATTCGAACCCCATAATAGGTACATTTAACTCATATCCTATTTCATTCGTGTGTTGTGGAATGTGGTTCTTGCAGTTGATTTCTGAAACGAGGTCAGGATATTATATTTTCTAATAAGAAGATAAGATACTTGAATATTAAAAAAAAAAAAAGGGGAAAATTCAATTCACACACATGGTCCTGGCATTCTTATTTGATTCTATTCCCATTAAAGATGTCGATTTTATTTGCAATACTAGGTGGCACACAATCCCTAGTTCTTTTTTTTTTCTCACTAGTTTTGGGTTGGGGGGAACATTGGGCCGTACAGTATCATGATTTACTTTCTTGTATTTGGATCTGTTTTCACTCCTCTTATATCCTAGTAAGGTCTCGAGGTTGTGACATTTATGTACTCAATATTCACTTGTTGGCCTTTCCTCCCTTTGCTTCTCATGCAGCACTCTTTTCCGACTTCATTTAGAGGTATAAGTGGTTGAACTGTGGGTTGCTGAGATATTACAGAAATAGTTGAAAGTCTGGAGTTGAGAAGATCTTTTGGCAGCCAAGATGAAATTTATGAAGCTTGGCTCTAAGCCTGATCAGTTTGAGACTGATGGGGACAATATCAGGTCAGTATGCACCCTCTGTGAATCATAATCTCACTTTTTTTCCTATATGTTTATAATGAAAGCATTTCCGTGTTTTTTTATTACTATGTTGCTGGTTTGCTACTGTTTTTACTTTTCTTACAAAGCCTTGCCTTTTCTTTTTCTTATTTTTGATAGGGTTCTCTGTTCAGCATCTTTAAAGTTGTTGGTTTTAGGAACTGCTCGGGACAGCTCTCTCGCTCCTTCCCTTAGACCCCCTTTATTTTGATTTCCAGGCATTGAACTGAAAATGCTTGTTTAACACACATCACTGACATTGATGAGGCTATATGACAGATTAAAACAAGTTACTATATTTGTACGATTACATTGAATCGGGTATATTAAATTTGCCTATTTTTCCAAATACGTAATCGTAGGATCGAGATGCATGTCAAAAGTAAACAGCTTGCATTTGATTGCATCTTCCTTATCTTCTACACTAACATAAATGACTGGAAAAATTCTGAGGCTCACTTCCAGGATAAAGATGAACAATTGCCTTATACGAGTTGTTTTTCATCTCAATTCTCCACATTTATGTGGTGCTTTAGAAGGTGGACATAAATGACTGATGATGTGCAGCAGTCTACGTTTCAAAGTAGTATAGAGATGTAAAGGAGTTGGTGCTTGTTATGGCTATGAAAGTTGATCGCAGAAAAATCCGCTGAAAAAGCCTTATAATTTTAAAAAAGTATCTCAGTATTTCTTTATAAAACAAATTTCTGATTACCACTTGGATCAATATTTCTAATTGTCTCTTTGTCGAGTAATAAAACACTCTTGAATTGGTAGAGTATTCTAAATGCAAATCATATGAGAGGACATGAGCTTTAATTTTCGTTCGCTCTTCATTTGTCTTTTTCATCGAATAATGTACGGATGTATACCACTTTGCCATGTTCAAGGAAGGTTATTTAATTTGTGAACACGTAATCTAAAGTTTACTGGGAATCTCACTGATTTTCCATTTGTCTGCTCAGGTATGTGGCGACCGAGTTGTCAACTGATATAATCATCAATGTTGGGCATGTAAAATTCTATCTGCACAAGGTATAGCCCTTCTATGCTGAAGATGTGCTACTTTGTGCATTAAGACATTGATTTCTTGTGCATCATTTGGAACAGACAGATTAACATTCTGTCAGCCAAATTCATCAATAAGATTACTTCCATTTGTTAAGGTCAACTCTAATTTACACTTATAGACCCAAAATATAGTCCTATCACAAGATCAACTAAAAAACCATCCTAAACAAATCAGACACGTTTGGTCCGAGATTGTTAATCCACCATTTTAAATGACTTTAAATATCATAATTCTGCAATCAACTATGACTGTTGTCAGACGTACATTCATTGCTGCAAGTGCTCATCTTTTTTACTAACACTGTGTATTTTGTAGTTTCCCATATTGTCCAAGAGTTCTCGCCTGCAGAAGCTCATTGCTAGTACAAATGATGAAAGCAATAATACGATTGACATCCATGATATACCCGGTGGACCTGCTGCCTTTGAAATATGTGCTAAATTCTGTTATGGGATGGTAGTAACTCTCAACGCATACAATGTTGTTGCGGCACGTTGTGCGGCAGAGTATCTTGAAATGTACGAGACAGTTGAGAAAGGAAATCTCATATACAAGATTGATGTCTTTTTAACCTCTAGCATTTTCCGAAGCTGGAAGGATTCTATTATTGTTCTTCAAACGACAAAATCTATGATTCCATGGTCAGAGGAATTGAAGGTTGTCAACCACTGCATAGATTCTATAGCTACTAAAGCTTCTATTGATCCTTCGAAAGTTGAGTGGTCATACACTTATAATCGTAAAAAACTCCCCTCTGAGAATGGAAACGAATCACACTGGAATGGTGTGAAAAAACAACAGATGGTGCCGAAAGACTGGTGGGTAGAAGACCTCTGTGAGCTTCAAATTGATTTATATAAGCAGGTCATAATAGCAATAAAAACAAAAGGGAGAATGTCTGCAGACGTCATAGGAGAATCTCTGAAAGCATATGCTTTAAGAAGGCTGCCAGTTTTCATTAAGGGTACGGTACAAGTAGATGATGTTGCAAAATACAGGTACTTGGTTGATACCATAAGTTTGCTATTGCCCTCAGAGAAATATAGCGTTTCATGTAGTTTCTTGCTCAAGTTATTACAAGCATCTATAACGTTAGAATGTGGAGAGACAAGGAGAAAAGAAATCATGCGAAGGATTGCAGAACAGTTGGACGAGGTCACGGTCGGTGATCTTTTGTTTCATTCTCCAACGGGTGAAACAGCACTGTATAACATAGATATAATACATGACTTGGTCGAGCAGTTTGTGATGCAAAACCACAGTTCTCGGATTGACAGTCCTGGTGGTAATGAATTTCAAGAGGTGTGTACTAAATTTACTTCAGACGATCCCAGGATTAAGGTGGCCAGATTGGTTGATGACTATCTTGCTCAAGCTGCAAGAGATTCCAGTTTACCTTTGTCAAAATTTGTGGATCTAGTTGAACTTGTTTCTGGCTTTCCAAGACCAACCCATGATAGTATTTACCGTGCTATTGACGTGTTCTTCAAGGTTAACTTTTGATCTCTTAACATTGCTAATTTTGTTTACTTTTCTTTTTATTTTTTCTCATGTCGGCGTAAGATTATCCTTGACCAACAATTGCGCTTTTACAGGAACATCCTAGTCTGACCAAGAGTGAGAAGAAGAGGATTTGCAGGTTTATGGATTGCAAGAAGCTCTCTGCTGAAGCCTGCACCCATGCCGTACAAAACGAGAGGCTCCCATTACGGGTGGTTGTACAGGTTCTTTTCTTCGAGCAAGCCCGAGCAACATCATCCTCCGGCGGTTGTAGCACATCCGACCTACACGATTCCATCAGAACCTTACTCCCGGGTGGGTCCCATGGGAGTTCCAGGTCAGCAACGACCAACACAGATGAGGATTGGGATACTGTCCAAAGCAGTGAGGAACTCAAGCCTTCGAAGGGGGAACTCACTTCGCTAAGGTTGGGGAGCAAAGTAGCTGGCAATGACAATAGCACGAATGATGCAAAATCAAACACAGAAAAAGTTGCTACCAATAAAGTAAAGAAGATCTTCTCGAAACTCTGGTCTAACAAAGATCGTGAAGGCGAGATCAGCAACTCGGATACATCTGAGAGCCCAGCTACTACAAATGCAGAGGAGAATAGGTCCATCTCTTCGAGAAGGAGGAGGCATTCCTTATCTTAAACTTATTGCTTAGAGGAAGCATGGAGAGAATGTAGGATTGTCCACTCAATTTATGACTTGTTAGTTATTTATGTCATAATTCTCTATTTTTCTTACCCTTTCAAACCAGTCACTCGAATGATTTGACGATTCGTGTCCTTGATGTTGGAATTTAAGGGTAAATTTGTTACATTTCGCAAATATTGGAGACGGAAAGTATAATTTTTCCTCTTTTAAACTATCTAAGCCAATATGTTGAACATAACATGAATTTGGCTTATGCGTGTAACGAGGAGCTACGGCATATGCCAATTAGTTGGTGAAATTGATTTTGGTAACACAAAAATAAAGGTAATGGGCCTCGTCAGAGCCCATTCATTTTTGGAATTGGATTCAGCACACGACCTGTGATCGAAAGAAAAAAAAAATGAAGGAGATTCTTTACAGAGGTTAGAGGAATGGCCACGACAATGTGTTCCGACGTTAAAGCAGCCAACATGGCCCCGCGAAATTGAGCTCCTTTCGATCTCAGCTACAGTGGAATCTGGCAATTGAGCACCGCCACCAGCGCTCCTGTCCATTTCTCTTTTCGTCTACTCTCCTCCATGGGCACACCGGCCCTGGGTATGATCTAATGATGACCCCAAGTTGATTGAACTATTGACCAGCTGAAACTCTTTTGTTGGGCTTTCTTTGGTATCATATGCAAAGGACCTATCAAAACAAGATATA